GGCATAAACATGAGATAAAAATAAATCCAGACGGGTCAATGGTGTGGTGTTTGTTGCCTCTTAGATACTTTGCCTCTGAGGATAAAGCAGAAGTGGCAAGTGGGGTGGGGAGAGAAACCCAACAAAAACCCTGAAGGATGAAAAGCAGGCACCTGGTACAATGTAACAAAAGGAAATGCTACTTTAATGATAATTAAAGTAAAAAGCTTACAAAAGGAAGCTGTCTGTCTGAGATTAATGGCTCTGTTGTTTCGTTTGAACAGAAAACCAAAGGGAAGCAAACCTCAAGTTGTATCTTTATAAAAACATCGTTTTATTTATTGCAGAAAGCTATGGGTGACAGAAAGCCCAAAGCTTCCTAAAGTGACTGTTCTTTCCAGGTTATGTGATGTTTCTGAGACTGAAAATCTTGTGTGGGGATAAGCCCCAGCGAATTTAGTAGGGCTTACTTCTGAGCAGACATATAGAAGACTGACTTTTCATACAGCCTGATCTTTTGTGTATTTATTTAGAGATGCATAGTGAACTCCACTCGAAGGGGGGCATTTTGCTATACCACTCAGAACCAGTTCCTGTCTTTGTAGTGCTTTACTTTTGAGCATGGGAAGGCCAGGTCAGGGCCCATCTATGTGGGAGTTTAATGTGGATTTCAAGCTTTATGTGTCTCGATTTTTTGGGGTGCCATCCATCCACATGACATATTCCCCATCCAAATACTTGCACACCTAGTATTTGCATTGCATACCCATAATGGACCTCAGTTTTCTGGATCTTATGGAGGGCGGGGAAGTACTAGCTGAGGGGAAGAGACAACTAATGCCCAGTGTGAATGCGTTCCATCAAACACCGCCACATATATATCAATGCCACAGTGTGGGCACCACCTCAACTACATGATTTGCATGTAGAAGGTCTTCATTTTATCCTTCTTTTTTCCACCTAAGGAAGGCCTGGTAACAGGAACTGGAGTAAGACATCTGATGAGGCTGGGGGTGTGGGGTGTGGAGGTGCTGCCAGTTAGAGCAGATGGGTGTCCTACGTGAGGATTTTCCTATATTGCTATGAAACTGCAAGGAAGATTCTTTTGAAACTCCAGTCCCTACAAAGATTTGTTTGGGTGCTTTTAATGTTGTCCATCTCTATAGCTCTACGCATTAGTGGTAGGGCTGCATCTTATACCCTGGGTTGTGCTTTAGCGTGTCTTTATTAAAATGGACGTATAGACTCCCACTATATTCCTGTGACTTCTCTGGCTTCTGTCATATTTAATTTTGGAGGGGTGCTTCCTACTAGCTTCTTTCACTTTTTGTTTTGCTTCTTTCTATGGAGTGGGTGACTTTTCACCAGACTTTGCTCCTATTAATTCTGGCATAGGCTTCCAGAATGTAACTGGATGATAAGTGGCTTGATAAGTTAACATTTTAGATGTTTCCATGGTTGTGCTTTTATCAAGTACCATGTGTACTAGATAGCCTTTCTTCAAACTGTTGAGTACAAGGACCATTATACTGTAGTGGATAAGGATGAGAAGTGACCCTATAGGAAGAGTGGTGGCATCAGCAGATAAGGCAGGAAATGTCCCCTGCCTGAAACTATGGGAAGCTGCTTCCAGTCAGTGCAGACAGTGCTGAGCTTGCTGGACCAATGGTCTGACTTGATTATAAGGCAGCTTCTTACATTCCCAGTGCATTTGCTGTTTTTGTAATAAATGCACACTTCAAAAAGGTTTGAATTTTTTTTTGGAGGGTGTAGTCACTTTTTGGGTCAACTTACTTTTAAAAATTAAGCTAAGGGCTTGATCCAAACTCCATTACTGCAGCAGGCAGAACCGTGAAGAAGCCCTCAATAGAGTATGGGGAGAACCTGTGATCCTCCAAATGTTGTTGGACTCCATTAGCAGCAACTAGCATGACCAATGGCCAGTGATTGTGAACGGTCTTCTTCAACTGCATCTGGAAGCTCAGAGATTCCACACCTCTGCTTTAAACGTAAAAGATTCAAGACTTCCTGGTATGGTAGAGGGTAATTCAAAACGTAAATCTTCCAACAGCAGGTTCAGCACTTCTTGGAGCTCACTTGATGAAACTCAGCCATACGAAGGGGAAACACACTTTATAACAGCGGCACTAATAATAAAATGGAATATATGTATTTGAAAGTTGGTTGTGCTACCGGTATGTGCTATGCATCTTCATTGCAGATTGTGGGGGAAATCAGCTTTCCCGTCACTTTTCTAAATTCTTTTACCACATAGCCCAATCTCACTGCAGTTTATTAAAAATAAAATAATTTACATTTTAAATTGTGTATTGCTCAAGCAGAGTCCATAGCAAGGAAAAATCTAGCACATATTATTAACGGATGACTTAGTGCAAGAATGCATTGCAGAAAATAAATATAGAATTAAATATTAGTTGTCAAGGGCAAAGCTAATTCACGGTTACTTTGCTTATTTATTGAAGCAAAATGAAGCCTATTTGCATAGATAAAACAAGACATCCCCTTTTCAACAGATCACATTTTCTTTAGCATTTTACACAAAGTTCAGCTGCAAGAAATGCAAAACAGGCAATCCTAAAGTCTCTAAAAACATTTTGTGCCATTTGGAAGAAATTTTCTCTCTTCTCAGGCCTGGGCTGTGAAAATCCACACTAGGGGCAAGGGTGAGAATAGGTCTGTGCTGATAAGCACAACAGGCCTTGCAGGTATGCAAGAAAATGGAGAATTTTGGGGTGGGAAAACCTGTATTTCCCAAACTGGGAAACTGGCAACCTGTGATGTGCATGTGCAGTTATAGGATTCCGAAGACTAGCAGCAGTAGTGCTGTGTTGTTGTTGTTGTTGAATTACATTTATATTCCACTTTTGCTTCAAGGAGTTCAGGATGACAATACATGGTTTTCCCACTCCCAGTTGTTTCTTACAACACTCTGTGAGCTAGGTTAGTCTTGGGGATGGGGACCAGCCCAAGATCATGCTGTGAGCTTCATGGCTGGCTGAGTGGTGATTTGAACTCCAGTCTTCTAGGTCCTGGTCCAACACTCTAACCCTTATTCCAAACTGGTTAGGGGGTTTTGTGCATTTGCAAGAAGCAGATGTCCAACCAGTGGAGGATTTGAATGTCAGTGAAGCAGGTCTTTTGTTTGGCCTCAAAGACCACACTTGGGGGAAGGGGAAGGAACGAAGTGTGATCAGAGGAAGCTCAGCCCACCCTGGAAGTTGCAGTCGGTGTGAATCAGGCTGTCCTTTGATAATAGAACCTGAAGAGTGACAAAAGATAGCAAGGGAAATGGACAGCAAAATGGACAAATGTAGAGCAGTTTTGTGCGCATGTGTGAACACAGAAGAACGAATGACACTTCCAGCGTTACAAACAAGGAAGCAGATATACTTTGTGCCGAAAGAAACATGATCACAGGGAGGTTTAAGCCAGATGTACATTTCTGAAACTAAAGGGTTTGTGTGTCTGAAACATGGCAGAGTGATAGAAGGTAAGCAGCAGAGCATTGGCAGAAGGGGAAAATCAGAGAGAGAAAAGCTGCCACTATCATTTAACAGGAAGATAGAAACATAAATGGGGAGGATGGCAAGCATATGTCAATTGCTTGCTTGTGTAAGCATTAGATGGGTACCCTCCACACATAAGCGTACTTAGAGCATGAATTAACCAGCTTATGTTTAGAGTTAGGACATCAGTTGGCAGGCGCACTGCTGGCATGCTGTCCCTATACGTGGATAGGCAAACTCACATTTATAGTGCATTTATAGGTGAAGGGGAAATGTATGGAGTGCTTACACATGTTTATCTGGTGGGTCAGAACTGCAGCAGCAGCTTCCTGGCAGGCATCACTGCCACTTACCGGAAGGGCTGAGATGGTGGTGTCAAGGTCAGGGCTGCAAAGCCAGTCCAGTACAGTCATACCTTGGAACTTGAATGGAATCTGTTCCGGAAGTCAGTTTGACTTCCAAAAGTTCAGAAACCAAAGCACAGCTTCTGATTGGCTGCAGGAAGCTCCTGCAGCCGATCGGAAGCCACGGAAGCCCTATTGGACGTTTGGCTTCCAAAAGAACGTTAAAAAACCAGAACCCTCACTTCCGGGTTACGATTGCTCGGGAGCTGATTTGTTTGGGAGCCAAGGCGTTTGAGATCCAAGGTATGACACTGTGGTGTGCCCACACAGCCCCAACCTTGGCACTGCCCATCTTGGAAAGCAGCAGTGACTCCACTGCCAGAAGGCTTTTTCTACAGCTCCATCCCACCAGACATACTACTCCTGATGACAGTACGTTAACCATGGCTGTCAGCATGTCTGCTTCAACCCCTAGAAGACTGCATTTTTTAAAATTGTAGATAATGTGACCGAGAGAGGAGAGCAACAAATAAAATAGATGGTGTAGGACAGCATCCCACAACCTGATGTCTTCCAATATGGCCAATGGTCATGGATGGTGGAAGTCCAAAACATCTGGAGGGCACTGTGTTTGTGGAGGATGCTGTAGGAAACTTAACAAAAGAAAAATAAATGGAATCATGTTTGGAAAAACAGTCCTATGGGTGGTAGTCCTTGTGTTATATACTAGGAGGAGGAGCTAGCAGTATGAACAATTAATGAAGGTCTGTAAAAGAAAGAGTGTGTGTCTGTTGTTATATATATATCTAGCAAAGCTTAAGTAGCTTAAAAAGCGCACACAATGGTGTCCACATTGCTGCCCCAGTTTAAACTAGAGCAGGCATGTCCAAAATCCATTTCAGGGGCCTAATCTGGCCTGCCAGTCAGTTTAATCTGGCCCCTGTGGCAGTTTATTTCCTGGGTTAAAATCCTAAATAAAGCTCAGCAACTTTGGTTGGACACCACTGAACTAGAGTAATAGGGAGGTGGATGGGTGAGAAATCTAGAGAGACACCCCCATAATTTCCCTAAACTAAATAAAATGTTTGAATGTTAAAGTGAAGACACGTGGGGTCCCAGGCACAAGCCAGGATGACTGCCCCTCCTCCAGTGACATGAAATTTGAAGACCTTATGGGGTCTGCTGACTTCAGCACTGCCCCAGACACCTCTAGCATCTCTGGAGCAGCAGTAGCAACTCCATCTGCAGCAGAGGACCTGGAGGGACTGGCATGCAATGGCCCTCACTCACCTGAGGCAACTCTTTCATCTGTGGAATCAGAGGGAGAGGTTGAGCAGCCTCCCAACCCCAGGGAACAAGTGTCAGAAATCACAGCCAGCCATTTGTCAACTCAAGGCCTGGAAGAAGCAGGCTTCTCAGGAGTAAGGGGCCTCTTCAGAAGCAGGAACCTTGGAGACTCAGCTAAGCAGTTGCTGCAGGGCCTGGGCAACCAGACAGAAACTCAGTTACTGATTGTCAGTTTATGAGAAGCACAGGTTCTTAGCACTGGGTGACCCAGCTCCTCATTCCTACCTTGGCCTCATGCTGCTGACCTGGGGAACCTGCTCTGCAGTGTTTGACTTTGGCTTTCAGTCTCTGCCATTGGACTACAAATAGCCATGAACTGCCCCACTGTGCTTGACCTTGACTTCTGCTTGAGAACCAGCAAATCTGAATTACCCTGACACTAGACCAAGACAGGAGATACAGCAATAGAGAAAGTTGGAGCTATGGCCTGGAAATTAAGGTAGTTAGGCTACACACGGCACAACTTAAAAAAATAAAATAGCTGGGGAAATGATATCATTGCACATCTATGCATATTAATAGTGCAGAGCAGGGGAGGCACTGTAAAATGAATCAGGTTTTTGTGTGTATAGAAATGTACTGGGTAAAGAGCAAAAACATTAAATATACATTACTAGCATATCGCTTTTGTGTGTGTGTGTTGTGAAAACAGACCTGAAATCTCCTGGAGGTGACAGCCGAAGAAGAAATAAAGCATTCCCGCCCCCTCCCTTAACTTGTGTTTTTAAAACAGGGGTAGCTAACTCTTATTTTGGAGGGACTTATCTGCCCACCAGCAATTTTTTATGGCTCCCCCAAGACTCCATGAATTTTGGCAGTGGTGGCAAAACAAATGCAAGGACTCTGCTGGGGTTGCAGAGCCCATTGTCTTGATGGAGATGCAAATTGCCCTCTTTTGATCAACAGATGGATCATTTGGTGAGCAGAGAGTGGGCATTGATGCCTCCCACTAAACTGATCTGCATGAATCAGCTGAGAAGGAGGAACTGTGTGTGTGTGTGTGTGTGTGTGGAGAGAGAGAGAGTTGTGTCCACTTTTCAAAGAAAAGAACTAAATATTTCAAGTGTGATAAAAGTGGTGATCATTGCTTAACATGCCATCACGGTCCTATCCTTAGGATGCCTGAAATGCAAAATTGACCAACATTTTCCACAGCATGTCCTTCGTAAGAGATAATGATGTATGTATAGCATTAAAAAAGCACCTTTGGCAAGCCAAAGAATGTTAAGATACCTATAAAATAAATTTAAGACTCAGTACAGAAGTAAAACCAGTGGTGTGTTTCTTCTTTAGCAAGATACTTGTAAATTCACTAGGTTTCTCTCCCCTGATTGAGTCATTCTGAGGCTTCCAATTGGAATCTTACATTATTTAATTTGCTTTCAATGTTTTAACACTGTTAATTGGTTTTTGCATAATATTTTCCTGTTCCTGGATGTTTTGACAAGCTATTTCTGCTATTAATGAGTATGATACCCTATTTGGACATATGCCAGTGTAACATGCCCACTCTTTAAAATGGAAGAGTATTAAATTTAGTCTGTTTACTTTATTTTTCTTCCCTAAGTAGTCTATAAAAGTTTAAGCAGCACAGCTTGCCTGTATATAGTACATATCCATGGACACAAACAGCTTACCTTCAATTAAAGCAATTTAGGTCCCTTGCAATTAGTTCTTCTAATGTAAGGTTCTAAAGATTACATTTGTATTTTTAATCCCTTGATTTCACATAACATGTGAAATTTAAAGCATGCTTTAAAAGTCTTCACAATCTTTAGCAGATAATCTTTTCATAATTTTTGTTTTCATTATGCAATATATTTGCATAAGAAAAAAATACCAACAACCCCAATTTCAGTATGATTGTATAATGAATTATGATGGCTTACTAAGCAATGATCACATCTGCTGTTTATGATTGTGTGGAAGGAGGTCATACTAATAGTTTGCATCCCTAAGATACTACTAAATGACAATCTGTTTTATATCAAGTGCCTGAAAGTAATTAATCACAGGATTTTCCTAAATAATCAAATTGGTAGCAGTTTTCTTCCTTGTTAACTGAAATAAAGATGGGCTGTATGCAAGAATACAAGAGTAAAGTAAAGGTAAAGGGACTCCGGACCATTAGGTCCGGTCATGGCCGACTCTGGGGACCGAGCAATGGGAGCTCACCCCATCGCGGGGATTCGAACTGCCGACCTTCTGAACTGCCGGCAAGTCCTAGGCTCTGTGGTTTAATCCACAGCGCCACCCATGTCCCTTAATATAAGAGTACCCAAGGGCTATTCTTCATGAGACCTGTGAAGCTTAGCCTCTTACTTTATCCTGGAAATAAATAGGCACTTGTAAGCTCAGTGATTGATCATAGAGTATGATTCATATTTCTCCCATTTGCTAACCCCCCCTTCCTCCTGTACACCCCTGTTTCTCGCTATGAAACTGCTCTGGAAGGTTGAGGAACCCTTTGGAATAGCATGGGGGGGTATGCTGCTGCTATAGGCTGCAGGGCAAACAAAGAAGGGGGGATTGATTGATTGACTGATTGATTTGGAGAATTTTGTTTTACATTCATTACTAATATACAAATTTCGGGTAACCCACCAGTGCACTCAGTTGCACTGAGGATGGAACATGAAAGCAATACCTTAACTTACGCAGAATCAAATTTTGGAAGACCTAACTCACAAGTGCATTACTGGGGCATCTGGGAAGTAGATAGCTATTGGATGTGCACTAGCTCTTTACTCACCCTCCTGCCATAGCAATCCTAGGTGAATAGACAGGATCATGGCCCTTCACACATCTGACTGCTCAACCAACAATGGGTTCACGGCCCATTAAAAAGAGATGGTTTCCATCCATCTTTGTGCCTCTTATGGGAATTGGTTATTTGTCAACTGAAGTACCGGTAAACTGTATTAGTAAGCATAGAACCGGGGAGCAGCAAGGTTTCCAGATGAGTTAACCTAGAATAAGTGCGTGCACTCATGCTTATTTTGATTCTAGCAGCAGCAAAACTGTTCTAGGGCTTTTGCAGCCCCCACAGGCTGTGGCGTTACTTCAAAAATGTTGGTTATGGAATAAAAAGAAACTTTCTGGTTCCTTGGCTTCTCTAGTCACGCCGTTTATCACTGCTCCAATGCTGGGCTGGACTTTTTCTCTCCCATACCTCTCTCAGTGTCACATTTTTGTTAGGAACCTCTGAATTCCCATTAGCAGATCCTGACAAAGTCTTAGACATCAGATGCATGCAGATAAGAGAAAGAGGGAGGATGGGCTGACACATGATGTCAGTCTTCCATAGAAATGAGCAATCCTTCACAAAAAGCATGCCACACAGATATTTTTTAATACATCTCAGTTATTCTCATTCTGTAGGGAAGAAGTTCCATGCATTACTCATTGTTTACATGGCCAACTGTGTGAATGGGGGGCAAAGTTTACACAGGTTTCAGTATACCAAGTTGCATGTTGTATTGTACCACCTGCTGGTTCCATCTACAGCACATGAAAACAAAGGAAAGGCCCTGGTGGATCAAAGCAAAGATCCGTCTAGCGCAGGATCCTGTTGCCAACAGAGGCTGAGCCAGGTGGTTCTAGGATGTTCACCGATGGGACATAAGGAGCACTCAGCAACCAGAAATTCAATAATTTCCTGGAATCTGGGGAGTTTATTAAGTCACCATGGTTAGTAGCCATTTATAGAACAATCCTCTATTAATTTGCCTAATCCCCTTCGAAAAGCTATGCTAGCTGGTGGCCATCACTACAGCTTGTAACCACAAACTCCATCTGCTCTATTAGGCATTTTGTGAAGAAGTGCTCCCCTCCCGTTCTGAGTCTACTGCTGATTGATTCCTTTGTATACCCCTCAATTGTAGTATTCTGAGGCAGAAACCAAACTTCACATTCTCTGCGCCGTCCATAATTTCATCAGCCGAATTCCAACGTAAACCTTTGAGCAGTTGCTTACGTAACTAAAATGGCAACAGCCACACACAAAGGAAGCTATTGGCAGCTGCAGGCTCAGATTGCTCATTGACTGTTGAAATAAAAACTAGAAAACCAGGGAGCGGGGATGGAATTGAATGGCTGGAAGCCGCACTCCACACTGCAACATATTGTTGCAGGGTCCCATTTGTAAACATCTATTATGTTCTGTATCCATATCATTTTCCCCAAACTTAAGGAGCTCTCTGAGCTTGTATCTTGCAAAGAGAGAGAAATGCACAGAAGTGAGGTATGAAAAGCTCCTAAGGAGGCACTGCTTTATTTATTAATTTTGGTATCCATGTTCTAGATCAGGCATAGGCAAACTCCGGTCCTCCAGATGTTTTGAGACTACAATTCCCATCATCCCTGACCACTGGTCCTGTTAGCTAGGGATGATGGGAAATATAGTTCCAAAACATCTGGAGGGCCAGAGTTTGCCTATGCCTCTTCTAGATTCATTTAAAGCACAATTAATGGGTTGGTTCCCAAGCACAACAACAATTCTTTTCGATGTGATAGGATGAATTTATTCACATGAAGTCAAAGTTCTTCTTATCTTTATTATTTGTTTCCCTTATTCCCTCCGCTTAAATTCCCTCTCATACAGAGATGGGAGAGTACTGAGAGAAACTCCGGCTTCGGATGTTACAAACGCGCCTTGCCAACCAGATATGCAGTGACTTCCTCATTCAGGTGCTGGTGGTGTAAAACATCTGCACAAAAGCTTCTCACTCTAGAGAAGCTTCTTCAGTGCTTCATCATAAAACTGGAAGCTGCTCTTGCCTTATTCACAGCAAAAGAGAAAATGAGAGCTGGAGGAAAGCTACTTGTTTTTCCCCTCCTTTGTGATTCTGTTTGAGTTAGTATAGCATACGTCTATAGCTTCTGCTATTACTACCCTGACGATTTTGAGTGAACCTCTTATTTGCAATCAAATGTTCTTCCTATCTTTTTTTATTTAAATCTAATCCTCTTCTTTCTTTTGCCAGGGATAGTGCTCCCATTCACTTTTCACACTTGTAATTCAGGAGTTATTTAAATGTACATGCTCATGTCCCATCTAAATCTGGCTGCTGCATTCTTCTCCTTTTCCTCTTGCTTTTGATCAAATTCTTTCTCTCAATCCGGCCCAGGCTAAACACACAGCTGGTAAGTACCTTTTGTAAACCGGACTGCTGATTAC